GAAAAAAATCGGTTACACGGGTGTAAAAAAGGGGATGCTATCTTTCCGGACTTTACGGTAATTGGAAAAAAAAATACCTGGGTCGTAAACTCTATTTAAACAAAAAAAATATTTAGCTTTATGTAATCATTTCTATAAAAATCAGTTTACAGCCAACCCCTCTCCAAGTACACCCCATCGAACTGGGTGAGCGCGCGCATTCATAGGGGATGCACTTTTAAAAAAAATAGAACAAACCTTAAACCTTTACTACTTTCATCCTCCTCGCGAGAATTTGGTATTGGATCTGCTGTCATTTCCTTGAATTTGAGAGCAGGTATTGTATTGTTCTCAATTGGAACTTCATAAATTTTATTTGTTCTATTATCTAAAACTGTAAGAGATTGTGTGTTTGAACTTTAATTTAAAACAATAAATTGTGAGTTAATTAATCATGGATCATTATAAATAATAATAAGCATATGTTTTTCAATTAATTACTTTCTTGGTAATACTATAACACCAGTAGATTTTGGATGCGAAGTCTTTCCACCTGTTTCTGGAGAAGGTAAGTTCCAAGAGGTCCCAGAGACCTTGTCTGTCAAGACGAGATTAGAACTAATGGTATATTTAGTTTAATAAATTAATTAATGGTTCGTAATTTTAACATTATTTTAGTATAATAATTACCTTTGAGTCATTTTGTTAATTTTTTTTCGAGCGGAAAAAAAGGAAATCAATAAATATTATATCATTGAAAATCTGATTATCAAATTGATAAAATTGGTAATATTGATTATCTGATTATTTGTTATCAACAAGTAACAAACAAACAAAGATACGATTTTACCCGTTATTGCATGCCTCAAAGTATACTAATCTTGTAAATGTTAAGAGTTATTAGTTAACGATGATGGTATATTAATAATAATTGCAGAAAAAGAATTTACAAGATTGATAATTGTTAGTTTATAATAATTTTTTAATACATATAGTTTGTACAATTAATAATTTTTTTATATATGTTTGTGCAATTAATAATTGTATTTACTGTATATGTTGTTTATAATATAAAACAATTAATTAGTTAGCTCCACAAATTACTCACCATTAATTTCCAAAAACACCTTTTGCTGTGTTAACAATAATAATTTCACCAAATTGTAATGGTTGGATGAATTTTGCTCTTTTCCAGAAGACAAATCCTCTAGTTCACTGACATTCATACAAGCTAGTTTGAGAACCTTTATTAACACATTTCATCTGTTCTAACACTGGCCGATTATCAGAATATTTAAGTTTAAGCCGATATCTTTGGGTCGGAATGTTTTCTGGTTTTGTCTAAATAGGTTGATCATCAGGTTTAACATGATTTCCACGTTGGACTAAAGAATCAAATCCTTCTCGATACAATATTGAAGCAAGACTCAAATTCATTTTTGTTTCAGAGATTAATACACAAAAATTCGTGGCATTTTATTATCGATCTGTCCTACAATGAAGTATTAATATGGGTAAACCGGTTTCGAGGTCCTCTGACCAAAACTTAAGTTTTTTAATAGATAAGATTAATCTAATCTAATTTACGTTATCTTATAAATATAGTTAAAATCCTTAATGTTTTTCAAAAACATGCATATCTTGTATTGATAAATATCCATATTCTTTACGTTTTGAGTTTAAAGTCTTCGTAGACCATTAATATTTTATACTCATAAATATTACACTTAATTTGATTCTAATTTACAAAATAGTGTTCTATTCGTATCTTTAACTCCATATTCGAATATTCGTAATTTTATGGAAATGATATTCGATTCTTATAATACTTTCGAATACAGTAACACTTTCAAATACTTTCAAAATATATAAGTTTTTTAAAAAATATAAAAACTACATTTTTACTGAGCGTGCATGTATTGCATGGTAATTGACCCAAATGTTTCAAACTTAAACAGTAAAATAAAGAAATAATTTGTTTGACTATGATGTTTAGGCTACTTCTTATTTATTTCTTATCATGATTTAATTATAGCGTAAATTATTACACAGATATTTGAAAGTCGAAAATGTTACGGATATTCGAATATATAGAAATTATTTGTATTTGACATTAACATCAATTTCGAATATGCTAATTAAATGTGAATATTCGATAGGAACACTAGTATTAATTAAAAACTAGAAAATATCAAACAGTTGTCAAGTATTTAATATACTTACTTGGATCATTCTTATAATTGTATTTATATTTCAGTAATTTTTATGTTTTTTAAAGACAAACAAGTTTTTGTAAGAAAAAATTTTTAGTACACATATACATAATAAAATGCGGATTATATCAAAAGATTTTAAAATTTTAAATAATTAATTGATATAGCGCAGGACATGTATAACGATCAATGATTATCACATGACTTTAAAAGCTTATAAAATAGTAAACCGATAGAATTCAAGCTAAAACCTAATACTAAGCTTCATTCCATCGATTTACTTTTTTTCATTCATGATACATTTTCCCACTATTGCTAAATATTTGTCAATTGGTTTCATCAATCATTATACACCAATAAATTGAGGAATTTAATTCTTCAAAGAGAGATTTTTAATTTTATAGGCTATACTATCTAAAAAGTCAATAGCGGATACATGATTAGTATAACTTCCATATTTTGATTTAGATGGTAATGGCTTTTCTAATGAAGCAGATTTCAAGATGGAGTTTTTATCACTAATTATTAATTCCCCATTATTTTCAATTTGTAGAGATGTTAATTTGGATAAGTGTTTAAAGAAATATTATCTTTTGAACAGCAATAAACAATTCTCATTAAGGAAATAATTTCTGATTTTTTCGTGCTTAATTGTCTTGAAGTATCTGGTTTAAGTAACTCTTCAGATTTCCTATGTTCATTGGTTTTCATATGTTCTTTAATTCTTTCTATCCTAAATAAAGATGTATCTTTTGCAAATACTGTTGTTCCATTGCAGTTTCTACAAATTCTACAATATAAAACCATATTTCCATTAACAAATTCAGTTTCCAACCAATGGATAATTATCAAACCACTTGGGATCAACAGCTTTTCTAACATGTGATCTTTTAAGCTCTTCATTATCAGACAAATCAATTAATATTGGAAAATTTGACATTTTAAAATATTTGAAAGAATTAATTTGTTTAATAATTTATTCCCGAATGATATTTAATTTAATATAAATAAATAAATAATATTTTCGACACATGGAAATTTAGTGTAACGTGATATGCTCTGATTGCACTGATTTAATCATATTTGTTTTATAAATATTGCCGAATATAAATGTCTTCAATGAGAGATAAGCAGATATGCGAATCATAATAGACAAAACATTTTATGCAAAATAATTTTATATCATGAACCGCCATTATTTTCGTTACACACTGTATATAGAGCTGAGAAATATAATAAATTTTTTAAATGCAAAATATGTTTTTTATATATTAATTAATATAAAGTAAATATTTCAAGTCTTTATATTGCATTATTTTACTAAATTTCGTCGGAGGATCCTGGAACCAGTTTTGCTAGAGAACCCCTCATATGTTCTAGAAGTTCAATCGTCTCGTTCCTTTATTACCGGAAATTCTTTGATACCTTTGTTCTAATTTTAAAAATCTTTATTAAATTGGATATACCCGTGTTGATTATTTCCAATTTTCGTCACATGTAACTAGTGGATGAATGAAATCTTTTAATCTTAATGGGGTAAATTTCATTGATGCCTATGCCACATAACACACAGCATTGTTTGTTTGTTATCTTCATTGAAGATTTTAATACCTTTTCTGGTAATTCTCACTTAGTTTAATAGATTACTTCATTGATACTGGGTCTGGCTTCCTATTACCTAGGTAATATCCGGATCAGTCAACAATATCTATTACTATTATTACTATGATACAGTTAAAATTATTAAATCGAGACTGAATAGACTATAGATTTTGCTTGACATATTTGTTTTTTCTGAAATCTTTAATTTAAATATGTATAGTTTTTAATGGAGTGGCCTTATATAA